CCCTGCCCTCCCCTCCAGCCGGCCCTGCCCTACCCTGCCCTGCCCTGCCCTGCCCGGTGTCCTGATTCTGTTTGGACTTAGGCATCCCTTCCTCCACATCCTCTCTGGCCCTCAACCAATGGGCTCCCACATGCTGTTACTGAAAATGTGGGTTTGTGCTGCCATCCCCTCCCCTCCCCCAGATAATTTCCCTGGGAGGAGTCGTGTGTGTGGGCATGAGGGAGGGTTTTAATTAGCTGCACGCAATTCGCAATTCCCACCCTTGCCTTCGGTGAGCCTCTATAAACATTTGCATGTCCATAGAACTTTATTAGCAAGCCACAAAGCCAGGCAGGAAAAATGCACAATCTCTCATTAAGGGGCAATGTGACCAATGACGCATCAAATGAGTAACCATTATTGCACTTAAATCCAAATTAAAAATCCTTCTATGAGCCACGTCGCTCCCTTTGCAGAAGGAGACTCCCTAGGATTTCACCAAGGAGCGGAAGCAGGAGCAGAAATCACCTGCGGGGCTCGGTCTGCACGCAGAGAAGAGCTCACAGCTAAGGAAGGCGCTGGCCCTTTTGGGCCGGTGGGAGCGGGGAGGGAAGGGTCCACTGCCGCTCCCCAGAAACACCTGCCTGCCCAGAGTCTCCCTCAGGTGGCTCCTTCAGGACCCAGGGAGAAGGGATCTTAACATACAGAGCTGCCCACTTGGAGCTGGGACAAGATTTCCTGGATCCTAACATGGCAGGGCCCAGCCCTGCAAACACTCAGCGTGGCCCCTTCCACCCCGGCCTGGACCAATCCCCGTCACCCACTTCTAGGGCTTCCAGAGGGCAGCATGAGTGTCCTGGACCAGGGAGGAAGAGACACAGGTCGCAGGAACCCCTTTTCCACTGGGGCCCGGAGTTCAGGCCACCCCCAGCCTGTATCCGGAGCCTTCACTGCAACACTGCCCGACTCGGGGCCCGGTGGGGGCTCACTGGGGAAACTCCAGTTGTCCTGCCGCCCTCTCCGGGCCTCTGCGATGCCCCCAGCCTCCTCCACAGCAGGCGCACCCAGTCCTTCACCTTCCCGACTCCCCAGGAATTCCTGCCTGCAACGCTGCAGGAGACCCATGTGGGGCCACCCCTAGGGTGCACTGTCAGAGGGGTGCTGAACAGAGGAGGGTGGGACATGGAGACAGAGCCCGCCACCCTGCCTGCCCACCTGAGGCTGCTTGTTTGGGAGGGAAGGGTGGGGGCGCTGCAGGCAGGAAGCCCTGTTCAGGGCTCTGCTCTCGGGAGCTGTTCTCACCCGGCTTCCTGCTCCCAAAGAGCCCTCAAATGTGCCTTCTGCTGCATCGGTTATATGTCCAAGAGGCACACACAGAGCAGCTCCTGTGTGCTAGGCGTAGTGCTGTGCCCCCTCAGGGAGGCAGCAGCAAAAGGGGAGTGAGGGCTGGAGGTGGGGGGGGTGGAGGCAGGCACCAAAGAGGGGGTGCCCTAATGTCCCCATGTGGGCAGTTTGCCTGCAAGTGACCGCTCGGACCACCAGGCTCAGAGCCCCAGGCTGACTAGCACAGAATGCCCAAGGAAGGAGTCTCCTTGGAGGGACCGTCTGGCACGGTTCTGAACCAGTCTCTTAGCGCTCAGTACAGGATGGGTGGGCACCTAACAGGGCACTGGGCACCTGAGAGGTTCTCCCTTCCTCAGTGCCCTCCAGGATGCCTGACTGGTGAGCATGGGCCCTTGGCATCGTGTGGCACAGCACAGCTTGGCTCAACTGGGCAGCCAGGTGCAGCCTGGGCCAGAACCACCACGAACAGCAATGCAATCAGATCCCTACCCCCATCCCAAATGTAGGTCACGCCAATGACTGTGTGTGACTTAGGTGACACTGCAGGGCTCAGGAAGAGGAGCCCAGCACAGGCCTCCCTCAGCCCCGACTCTCCTGGGTCAGGTGCCCTCCTGCTTCTGGCCCATGGGGGCCCCAGGGGGTCTGTCACAGAGGCCAGTTTTACTGCAGCTGAAGAGCTGGAAGGTGCCATCTGCAGGGAGGAGCCTAGGTCCACCCTCAGAGCGATGGGAACCTGGGCAGGAAAAAGCCACATGCACCCAGGCCCATGTGGCTCCTGCAGACACTAACAGCGCCTCTGCCCTGAATGTGTGTTGAGATGGTCTCCAGGACCCTGTGATCACCCTGCAGTCCCCAGGCTGGGACAGGGGCCAGGCTGGAGGACAGGGAGCTGGAGAGAGCACAGTTCGCATTTCCCGCCGATCCCACTCCCACAGATGAGCCATCATCCCAGGGGCTACAGAGGCGAGAGGTAAGACCCAGGGGCAAGGCCAGGGCTCAGTGACCACCCCAACCCCAAGACCTGGCAACCTCCCTCCATGAAGAGGAAGCACTGTGGGAGCTCCCAAGGTCGGTCAGTGACATGTAATCCATGGTCCGGGTGCTGAATAATAAACCCAGGGCCTGAGCACCCTGTCAGGCTGCAATGCCAGCCAGGAAGTGCTGGAAGATGGCACACCCTGAGCTGGCTGGGCTGGGGGACCCACCTGGAAGCAGAGGCTCCCATGCGTGACTTGGAAAGACCATTCTCCCACCAGGGACCCCAGCAGTTCCAGGGGCAGCTGGGACCACAGTCTGGCCTGGGCTCCACTGTCCTGCTCCAGACTAAAGCCCATTGAGATCTCAGCTGTCATTCATCCTCAGAGGGAGAGCGCAGGGAAAGTGAAAGGTGCTGTGGGGGCGGGCACAATAGGGCAAAGGACAGGGTGGGCACGATAGGCCAGGGGACAGAACAGGCAGGATAGGGCAGGGGACAGGGCGGGCAGGATAGGGCAGGGGTCAGGACTGTGCAGCGCAGCGGCCTCTGCAGAAGACAGGCCTCAACCTGACCCCATGGGGAACTGCACCAGAGTTGTTCCTATGAGGGCAGGCAGGAGGTTCGTGTCCACATGCCAGTCAGTCATGCCTGCGGGCGGCTGCAGAAAGGGGCGGAACTTGGCGCTGTGGAATGCTGTCGGTTTACCATCTGTGTGGCTGGACAGGTGTAGTTCACGTCCCAGCCCAAGCCCAGGGCTGGCACACAGTTGGTCGCTGGTTCTCAAATGGAGGTGACTCTGCCCCTAGAGGACAGCTCACAGTGTCTACAGACAGTTTTAGTGTCAGCTTGGGCATGGGGTGGAAGAGCCCCTAGGAGGGTCATGCAGCACAGGTATTCTGGGGCAGGCAGTCTCAGGACTGGGAGAAGGGGATAGAGATGAGACCACGTGGGTGGCCTGAGAGCTGGCAGAAGAGTGGCTGGTGCCTGAAGGACCTGGCTTCCCAGGGCTCGGAGCTGGGCACAGGTGGGGGCTGAGTTCACCCAGCAGCTCCCCTGCCCCAGGCCCTGTCCAGCAGGGATCTGGCTTAGCCCAGGGAGCCTGGCATGGTGACTCTTGCTGGCCCTTGGGAATGTGCAACCCATGCAGAACCCTCAGCCCAGCACCCACCCGGCTCAGCAGCCCTGGAGACCTTCTCAAGAACCTGGGCAGCTTCCCGCTGGAAGCCACAGTTGGGTGGGCATGTGGGCCCTGGCCTCATCTCCACCGCTAACTCACGTAGCCTTGGCAAGCCTCTCCGCCCTCCACGCACTGCAGGTGTCTCACTTCAAAGTGGGGATGAGCACCAGCTACCCTCCAGAGGTGGGAGGGCCCCTGGGCACCTGGCAAGGTGAGTGAGAGGGGCCTGCACGATGGGGAGCCCTGGGGAGGTGGTCGCTCATGACTCTCCTGCTATTATTTTGCAAAGCTGGAAGTTTTGCCAGTAATGCCAGCTCAGAGACAGGGCAGATCCCAAGAAGACTCCAACGGTAGGGCCAGCGCAGCCTGGGAAGGAAGTGCTCCCAGGAAAGAACAGGGGTGCTGGGGAGTGGGGGACAGAGCACACAGCAGCACACAGCACTCAAAGCAGCCTCCAGGCCCCCACAAACACCACTGCAAACACCCCTCCCTCCAGGCAGCTCTACCTGAAGCCAGCTTCTCGGGCGGCCATAGGGGCGGGGCAGCTGGAAGGAAGGAGAACAGTGTCAGGCAGCAAATGCCAACCATGCCCATCACTCTGTCCAGTGCCCTCCCTGGACAGCTATCAGCCCAGAGCCAGCAGGACTCCAGCAGAGCCGGAGTGGTTTCCCACACCAAAGGCCAGGGTTGGGACTCGCCGAGGCAACTCCCAGGAGCTCCGTGTCTTCAGAAACTCCAGATTCGCCAAGGACTCACTGGGCAGCAGCCGTGCACCTGGCACTGCATCCTTAGGAGCACCCCAACCCATAGCCCACCCCAATGCTCACAGCAGGGTGGAGCCACCCCATGTACCCTGCTACCCTCCCAGGGAAAAGCAACCCTGCGAGAGGCCCTGGGATGGGATGCCCTGGCCTAGAAGCACCCCAAGATCCCCACAGCTCAGAGAGGCCAGGTGGAGGATGCACGCTCTATCTGGCCCCTGCTGTGGCCTCTGCAAGGTTGCTCACAAGAGCTACATAGTCACACCAACTGGACTGACTCTCTTTTTTTCTTTAATTGTTTTGTTTGTTTGGCTGGGTTTTTTTTTTTTTTTTTTTGGACATGGAATATGTTTCTTGTCGCCCAGGCTGGAGTACAGTGGCAAGATCTGGCTCACCACAAGCTCCACCTCCCAGGTTCAAGCAATTCTCGTGCCTCAGTCTCCCAAGTAGCTGGGATTACAGGCGCCTGCCACCACACCTGGCTAATTTTGTATTTTTAGTAGATATGAGGTTTCTCCATGTAGGTCAGGCTGGACTCAAACTCCCAACCTCAGGTGATCTGCTCAGCTTGGCCTCCCAAAGTGCTGGGATTACAGGTGTGAGCCATTGTGCCCGGCCTTTTTTTTCTTTTAATTTTGAGAGAATTAATTTTTGGGGGCGGGGGACAACACACGCTGGGGTGTGTTGGGGGTGAGGGGAGGGAGAGCATCAGGAAGAATAGCTCATACATGCTGGGCTTAATACCTACGTGATAGGTTGATCGGGGCAGCAAAACCATGGCACGCGTGTACTTGCGGAACAAACCTGCATGTTGTGCACACGTACCACAGAACTTAAAATGAAAGTTGATGGGGGAAAATAAAGAAAATAAAAAAGAACAAAGGGGCTACTGCTTCAGTTTGGGGTCCAGAGACATCTTCCCAGTCTGTGCTCAGATCAGGCGGTGGAGATGAAAGCTGTGCCGTGTGTGGCCGATGTCACTTACCCACGGCTGGCACTGCTGCTCCTAGTCCCATGTAACTTCACACCCTAAAGCCCATTTTTCAAACTTGGGTGTATACACCACTCAGGGCCATGTGGCCTGTGACTGACGAGGTAACACGCAGACCAGGGCCTGGCCGCCCTCCTGTCCGGGTCCCTCTGCAGACCCATTACTTGTCCTAGTGAGGGACAGACCTGTGGGAGGCTTTGAGGGGTACAGTTTTGGTTTTTTGGTATTTTTTGAGATGGAGTCTCACTCTGTCTCCCAGGCTGGTGTGCAGTGGCGCAATCTCAGCTCACTGCAACCCCTGCCTCCTGGGTTAAAGCCATTCTCATGCCTCAGCCTCCCAAGTAGCTGGGATTACAGGTGCCAGCCACCACGCCCAGCTAATTTTTTTAAATTTTTTAATAGAGACAAGGTTTTACCATGTTGGCCAGGCTGGTCTGGAACTCCAGACCTCAGGTGATCCACCCACGAATACAAATTCAGCAGCCCTGCGGTCCTCCCAAAGTGCTAGGATTACAGGCGGGAGCCACTGTGCCCGGCTGAGGGGTGAGGATTTGCAAACCCCAAATCCCACCTTGGCTGAGTAAGCCAGAGCAGCTCCTCAACTTTCCAGGCCTCTGTCTGTTTGCACATAAGCTGGCGTCAGGCGGAGGGGGCTGGAGGCTATGGCTGGCCCACAGGGGACAGGCAAGATCACAGTGGTTAACCCGCCACCCTTACCGTTGGCCACCCCGACTCTGGATACTTTCCACAGTTTGCCTTTTCATCCTCTAAACAATGTATGTGGCAGACACCATTAGTGTCCCCATTTTGCAGAGGGGGAAACTGAGGTGTAGAGAAGTTAAGTGACCTGTCCAGTGCCACTCAGCTGCCAAGTGGCACCAGTGAGACCTGAACCAGGCCCTCTGGCACTAGAGTCTTGCGCGTGGCCTGTCAGCCCTGGTGACTCTCCCCCAGTGTCTGGCTCACGGTAGACACTCCTTACACTGCTGGTGCTAGGCACAGAGGTGGAATTTCCCATCTCCATTCTGCCCATGTTGTGAGACTGACCATCTGTTCATCGGCTGGAAGGCTGGAAAGAGGGGGTTTCCTCCCTGGGTGAGGGAGAGGCTGGACTGACTCTGAGGTTCAACTAAGGAAGCACTTAAAATCCTCCAGAGACCCAGAGACTGCACTGCCCATGACAAAGGTGACAGGGGTAAGGTGGCCAACCCCAGATGCCAAACACACAGAGCAAGGAAGGGCGTGGAGCATGCTACCAAGGCATGGAAACACTGACCGACAGAGATACCCACATGGGCCACCATGAGCCAGCATCTCTGGAGGAACCCAGGCTCAGGACAGCCCGTCCTCCTCGGGACACAGGAAACAGAACTGAATTGTTAGCCATGGGTTCAGACAGTGGCAGATCAATCCCCTTTCCCCCAGCCTCAGTGGGCTCAGAACTCAAAGAACAAAGAGCACTGGTTCCCTCAGGGATGGGCCAGGCCCAAGCGGCAGCAGAGGGCACATGGTCAGCCAGACCTCAAAAGCTCCAAGGCCCTTGGGACCACCTGGGGTGCTTCCCAGGGGCCACATCGCACTGTGCTGGCATCACCATCACCCAGTCTCCCAGGTGAGGACACCGAGGCGTCGGGAGATAGAGGATTTCACCTGAAGCCACATAGCAGGTGAGTGCTGGGGCAGGGGTATTGGAGTTTACAGGAGAAGAGCCTGTCTACAAGCCGAGGAGAGAGGCCTCAGAAGGAGCCAGCCCTGCCGATGCCTTGATCTCAGACTTCCAGCCTCCAGGACTGTGAGGAAAGCAATTTCTGTGGTTTACGGCCCCCAGTCTGTGCAACTCTGTTATGGCAGCCCTAGCAGATGAATACAACATCCACATCAGGAAATCCACCTCCATCCAGACCTCAGTTTCCCCATCTGTGCCTGCTGTGAATTCTGGGTCACTTTTAGCAGCCCTGAGGTACATGGCAGACCAGGGGAGAGGTGGGCACAGGGGTGAAGAGGAGGAGGGTGGGCGGGGGCCTTTCATTCACCAGCCGAGACCCAGCCTTGCACCCCAGCCTTGTGCCCCAAGCCAGTCCTCTGGCCTAGGGAGAGAGAACATTAGGAGCACGCCTTGCTCTTTTGTAAAGCTGGCTTTTTGGCGCACAATGGAGGCTGCATTTATCAGCCCAGCAGGGGAGTTAACAAGAAGCCCCAGCGTCAATTACAGCCGCCCCCAGCCCAGCCTGGCTGGGCACAGAGAATCCACAGGAAAAATAATAACGCGCATGGAGTCTTGAGATGAATCATCACGGAGAAAGCAGCTGTGTTGATGAAATTTTAAAGCCAACATGAGAAAGAAAATATGAACAGCAATATAGTAATTGAGTCTGTGAACATGCTGGCACATTGTTAATTAAAGCTATTTTGGAGTTAAACAGAGGCCATGGGGGGAGAGGTGGGACCATGGGGAGTAGGAATCCGGGGAGGCTCCCTACCCTTCCACCCAAACCCCAAAGCCACGTCACCTTATGATATTCCAGAGAAGAGCATTCCTCTCTCCTGCTTTTCAGCGACAGGAAGAGTCCCTGCTTTGCGCAGAGGTGGGGGTTTCTGTACAACTTGATTTCCCTAACAAGATTTAAATGCCAGAATCACAGACTCTCACAAGCCAGAGTCCATGAGGCTGAGGACAGCATCTCATTCAAGGCTGCAATCTCTCTTCAAGATTCCCAAACATGGTCACCCAGCCATCTCTTGATTCTCTCCAAAGATGACACCCTCACTACGTGCTGAAGCCCTCCCTTGGTTAAGCGGGCCTTCCTCATTCTGAGTAAGAACAGACTTCCCAAGGCACATCCACCCAGTTCCGCCATGCTGAGCACTGGAGACACGGATGTGACACTCAGATCCTGCAGCCCTGTCCTGGAGAAGGCGACAGTCCACGAGGGTGGGTCTGGACACCCTATCAGCAAAGGTGCACAGCCCGGGGACGGAGAGATCAGAGCAAGCACCAGGCCACCTGTGGGTGGTCAGGGAGGGTGGCAGACAGGAGGCCAGGAGGAAGGAGACTAAGTCAACCCCATCTTCCTGGTGCCTCCCTGAGCATGGGGCCACCAGTCTCCTCATGAGCAGTGCCCTGCCACGAGCTCTTTTCACCTCCCCTATCCTCCAGGGGCCTCTCTGTGCATGTGGGTCCTGCGGGCTGGGCAAGGTGTTGGTCAGGCAGGAACAAGGATGAGACTGGCAGCTCCCTGAGGGCAGGCCTCTCCCTGACCAGCCCTGCATCCCCAGAGCCACATACCTAGTAGGTTGTCAGTTATGCACTGAATGAATGAGTGCCCACTTCTCAGATGAGCAAACAGAGGCCTGGGAGAGAAAGTGGCTTAAGGATCCACATAAAGCTGGTGTCATTGAAGCTACCTCAGGAATCCCAATCCAAAGGTGGGCTTGGGACCCACTGCTGCCGAGAGCCGGGGCCCCGCCTTCACCCGGTCTTTCTGTCTCTCTCTCCTGCTTGGCTCAGAGCAGCACTGCCCTCCTCCACGGCCAGCAGGAGCCCTGCCCAAGATCCCGATTCCTCTGGTTCTTTTTCTTTTTCTTTTTTTTTTTTTTT